CCCCAAAACCCCAAAACCCCAAAACCCCAAAACCCCTTGATCAATAAATCATTAGAAAATTAATGAAATTAAAATTAAGTGATATCTTGTATCAAAGTAAATATTCATTTGTACTTTGAAGCAGACAATTAAATTACCTTCAAATTATTTGTCTGAATATGCTTTGCTATCAAATAGTTTCATCAAGGCAGCAAAATGACACATCAGCAGATTTATCAACATTTATATCACCATCATAACCTGGATTGCACTATGGAGTATCATACACCTTCCAAAATCCCCAATCACCTTATCGAAGTACCTAGCCTACTAATGTATAATTGGCTTGACATTAACCAGCGCACATCTTGCATTGTTTTCTATTTCTTCCGCAAACTTCGAATTCTCTATTAGTTTTGTAAAAATTGCCTTGACATCCATGTCCAGTCATGTGGTAAGGACCCCAGTCATCAATATTGAGCCTTCTGCCGATTCTATAGGGATAGTCTCCTCCACAAGATTCACAGTACCTCACAGGTGGCTCATTTATTGAACAACAGAGATTTGGAGGCCCGTCTTCATTGTATAAATCACCTTCACAGTGGTCTCTAAATCTTAACCAATGACCCCAATCATCCTCTTTTTCACCAGAACCTTAGTACAATGGATAATCGTTTGAACAAGATGAGCATAATCTGCATGATGAGAATTTCTTCTCTACTAACCACTTTTGATAAGAAGCAATAGCATGATCCTTCAAGTAATGTTGAAGAGTTATGCTCTATGTTATCTCTGATATCTTCTAGGTATCGTCATTAGAGATTTACTCAGTTGGATGAGAAGATTTGTATTACTAGGCATTTAGCCATGTTATTGAGTAGAAACTATTCATCAGTCTTTGCATCAGATTATCAGCTAGGTTAAAAACTCTGTTCTTTTCGCCCTTGGGAGATTCCTCAAATGAAGCTTCCAAGACATCGTCCAACGATTTCGCTAACTTGATAAAAGCATTGTTACATAGAGTCATAGAGTTTCCACAAGGTGAAACATCATAAGCGCCATGCTCAAAGTCTAGCTTTTAAATTAAATGCTTTTCCTCAAGAGTGTCCAAAATACTCAAAGCATCTTGAACATTTCTTATAGCTTATTGTGAATTCAGCTTTCTTATTGAGTTCATTACCTCCTCATTGCCCTCAATAATTAATAGCTAGGTGTCTCTAATCATATCCTCAAGCTCAAGAAGAGCAGGATCTGGAGTATAACTTGATCCCCCAAATAAAGTGAAGACAAAGCCTACCACACTTCCAGCAACTCCCATGTATTCTGAGAGTGTTGAGATAGCCTGAATGCATCCCTAAATATTTTTCACAAGCTTTGAGTTCTAATAAGCCTTCATCGCTTCTTTTGCTTTTGTGGCTGTGTTTGAGATATCTTTATTTGAAGGCTACTTTGTTTACTCTACACTGATTAAGCTTAAATCATCTGATCCTGAGACATATAAGCTTTACTTGTAATGTGCTATTACCTCTGCAGTAATTAGTATTAAAAACAGAGTGAGCCCAAGAGTTTTAGTACTTATTCTCATTTTATTATAATTTTTATAGAAATTATATCCTTTAAATATTAAAATACTAAATTTTAATAATAATTTTTGCAAAAAAATCTTTTTTAATTTTATCGATTGGGGTTTTGGGGTTTTGGGGTTTTGGGG